GACCCAGATCACTCTGAACGCCGTGCTCATCGTTCAGAATCTCCGCTACAGCTTGATCTCAACGGTTCAGCTCATGTCATGTGGCGTCAAAATCAGCAACGACCCCCAAACACGACACCTCCTGCTACACTATCGAAAACCGACTCAGCCAAACGAACCTGAAACCCCACCTCGGTACATTAGCAGGGCAGTAGCATTCGATGGAGTTTATGTCCTAGACTTCGACATTTCCAATTGCAATGGTGACAGTCACGAGCTGATTGAACTCGTTCCTCTCAACTTGACGTGGAAGAGCGAGAAGGAGTGGACTCACCCCGACAGCCGCCCGTAGGTCACTCATCACATGCACCCATCGGAAACCGACCTACACGACACTGGACCAAATAGCATGTGCCGTACCTGTCGAACTCCAACAGCCTCTTCCAACAAAATAGCTGGCACATGACTCGAAACTCTCGAGGAAGACGAGATGGAGTCCCTTCTCACTCCGGAGGTCGGCATGACCGCTCCATAATTTTTTGCAGCTGTCACCATTGTCCCACCTTTAGGAACCATGGATCCCTCATACAACTCCAGACAATGCATGGAGAGTGTTCTGGCCTATGTGGGACCAGGCTCCTTTGACGAAACCGAACGAGCAAACCCATGGGAGCCAAACACTCACATGGCATTCAACCCCAACAGGAGACAGCCCACGTCACTGGAAGCAACGGATCTGGCTACCAAACTCGCATCCGAGATAGATGTATGGGCAAGCTCTCTCAGAACCATCGCTGCTTGACACGGACCGTCGTCACGAGAGGCAGTCAAAGCAGCACAGGCAACCATGGTCGCAACATCAGCAGCACAAGAGGCAGCAACAGCAGTAGCAAAACTAGAGGCAGCAAAAGCAGCGGTAGCAGCAGCAGCAGCAGTATTAGCCGAGGAAGCACCAGTGGGGCCAGCGGCAGAGGAAGCACAGCCAGAACCACCATGCCCGACTCTCGAACCCAGTGCCGAGATTCATGCACCACCCTACAGAGCGATAAGGGATGGAGCAATACTCCAAGCACGGGCAACTAGGGTGGAGGCCCAGTACCAGAAACATGCACAAGCTGGGGCAATCTCCCTACCCAACAAGTTTGGCAAAACACACCGAATGTTGGGGGGTGGGGCAAAGGCCGAGGCTTCCATGGGTCCGTAACCTAGCTACTGGGCGTTGGCGTCTCAATCATGACATCTGGTAGTGCGGAGGAAACGATGAGGACGACGAAGGCGAAAGGTGGAGAACCACATAAGGCACGTATCTTCACCTCTGTCGCCCTCCTCAAGCCCCAGGAACTTGGGCTGAATACGACGAAGTTCCTGATGAAGAAAACCTACTCCACTGGGGCCGCTATCACGGATCGCCACTGCCCGAAACTGAGAGCCCTCACCCTCTGACACTGACCCCAATCGGACCCAATAACGAAGCTGATCTCCAAGAGACCGGAACCATCGAAGGTCCACCACCACCTCGCCTCCCTCGCCCGATAACTGCCACTGAAGAGCTAGATGAGAGCGCAGCTGGACCAAACGGCTCTTCGTGAGACAGAGAGATCGCTGCAGACCTGTAGTAGACCAAGAGTTCCACGTTCTCGCCATCTCAGCCCCAGCATTCACAGACGCAGAATCGGCACCTTCTCCTGACGATTCCCGCCAGCGCAATCCGTGCACTCGAGGACATCGCGCCTCTAGGGATATCTGGCACCAGCGACTTGGCCACCCCTCCAAAGTCACCCTCAACAACTCACTCAAAGCTAACATCTTCGCCCCTGGGGCACTCATAGATTCTGACATGCACGAACTTCAAATCAACCAAGCCCCTCACACCTGCACAGTCTGCCCCGAAGCTGCCCTCACACACAGCTCATTCCCAGACCTTCCGCACTGCCCAACTCGCTATACACCGCTGGACAAAGTTTACATCGACTACCTAGTCCTCACATAGCTCGGACTTCATGGAGAGCAGTACACTCTGACCACCATCGACGCTGCCACCCGCTAATCCTGGGTAGTCATTGTCCAGAATAGACAGGGAGTACTCAACATCTTCCAACCATGGCTCGCTCTTGCTGAGCGCCAGTCTGGAAAGAAACTCAAGTACTGGCAGACGGATGGAGCTTGGGATTTCCGGAGTGAGGAGTTACAGACTCATCTCCAAGAACTCGTGATCGAGCACAGGCTCTCCCTTCCCTACGCTCACCCACAACAAAGGGCCGCTGAACGGACCAACTGCACCTTACAGACCAAAGTGCGGGCGATGTTGCTCTAGTCCGGACTGCCCACAGACAATTGGCCCCATGCGATGCACCATGCAAAGCGCCTGCACAACCTACTGTCCTTCAACGCAGGCAGTTATCCGAGTGGTGTACAGTTATCCGAGTTACACTGAGGGAAAAAACTGTCCGGATGCAGGGGATGTATTGCGTTTTTTAGCCATAATTTCAGAGAATGATTAAGCCTTAATGTGAGAACATTCTTGTGTCATGGGCACATGTAGTCTCAACTCTGTCCCTTGGTGTTAGCTCGTTCACCTCATACAAACATGCTCAGTTCACATTATACATACAAGGTCATCATCCGGACAGTTTTTTCCCTTGTCACCAAAAGATCTACTAATCCAGATTCTAGTAGCTAGTCCATCTTCCCCCAGCCTTGATCACAGCACGCACACGCTTCGGCATGCTGTCTATGAGCCTCTTGCAAAAATCCGCGGGAATCTGCTCCCACTCCTCTTGGATCCGCTCCCAAAGTTCCACCATTCCTGATGGTGGCTGCTCGTACTTGGACAGCTCCTTTTTGAGGTGAGCCCAGAGATTCTCGATCGGGTTAAGATCGGGGGAGGAGGAGGGCCAGACGAGCACGGAATAGTCCTGCTCCCCAAGGTATTCCTGCACTAGGCGACACTTATGCTTGGGGTCGTTATCATGCTGGAAAATGACTTTACATGGCGTGAGGCTATAGAACTCGATAGTGGATGTGAGTTCATCCTGTAAAATGCTGCGATACAATGGCCCATCCATCCTCCCATCTATCTTGCACATAAAACCCGCGCCGTCATAGGTCAGGCATCCCCACACCATCACAGAACCCCCTCCATGCTTCACCGTTTGTCGGATTTGATGGCTCTGCAGGTTGTTGCCGTCGCGGATCCAGGCGTATGCGCGGCCGTCCGAGCAAAACCGATTTATCTTGCATTCGTCGGACCAAATAACGCGCTTCCAGTCCTCAAGCGTCCAGTCTACGTGCGCCCTGGCAAACTCCAGCCTGTCCCTAATGTTCTGCTTGGACAGTCGCGGTTTCTTCGGTTGCGATACTGCGACTAGACCAGCTTCACGAAGAGAATTCCTAACTGTCTTGGGGCATACGTTAACATCGTGTGCTGTTCCTAGCATTTTCGCCGCGTCAACGCTCGTTTTCGCCGCGCCACTAGTAATAGCTCGAATAACGGTGCGCTGGAGTCGGGGTGATATAACACGTGGCCTTCCACCTGGCGGCATTGTGGGTCGCACCTCTTCGCGGCTAGTCTCACCGATGACTTTGAGACCGTAGTCATGGACGGTGCTTTTACCTACACCTAAATCTTTCGCTATTTTCCGCACGCTAACCCCCTTGCGCAGAAGCTCGATAATACGTGCTTGTCGCTTCTCATCGACCGGCTTCATGGCGTCTGGACCGTGTGCGGACTACGGGGCTACGGAGCGGCGGCGAGAAGTTCGCTAGATCGAGACCTAATTTAAGACCGGTGGCGAATGTAGATGTCGAACGTCGATCGGAAAAAACTGTCCGGAAGCAGTCCATCTTGCAAAGCCTTATCATACGTTAGACCTCTTCGTTATTACAAACCTCAACTCGGTGGGTTCATGAATATACGCACTGTTATACACACAAGGAAATTTGTGGAAACTTATTGTTACCATAACAGGCAAAAATTGACCGGCAATAGCCTAAACCCATTTATCCGGACAGTTTTTTCCCTCAGTGTAGATATGGAACCCGTAAGGGAAAAAACCCCTGTTAAGTGCATCTTAGCTAGACCCTTCGCATTCTCTTGTATTACTGTATGAAATTGTATCCCTTTAGTATAATCAACACTGTAAGTTACATTCACTCTGACAGGGTTTATCGATCAATCAATCGCTTCCGCAAACCGCACTACTACAGTTCAATCCTACGGAATATTTTTGGATCGCTTCACAACTTGTATCTATAACGACATTTTTACACATACTAACCAATATGAGCACACCTTGAGACAATATGCCAATACGCACATTGTAAACCCTACCCCTGTACCAGCACTTTTTTTTTTTTTAGCGAGAGTATACAATAACTTCAAGGTTCAGAGGACTTTGAACCTTGAAGAGGTTTCATGAAAATAGCGAGGGTCATAACCTCGCAAGAAACCTGGCACGCCCCACGCAAAAGGAGAGGCTCTCGCAACCAGTCAAACACACCCGCGAACACTGGCAAATCTCAGGGGTTGAGGGCTGGCGACACACCGAACCCAACCCGCCTACAAAGCACATTCGCAAGGACCGACAACACGAAATGGGGAGCGTGTCTATGAGGCAAAATGAAAACAGTAACAAGGTCGGAAAAAAAGGCTGGGACACATAGGATCTCATGTAAACAGGGGCGAAGAGTATGAAGTAGAGAATTGGTTGCAAACACGCCCTTGAAACACAACACTTCGTCCCAAAGTTTCCACCGTAGAACAGAGTTAGCAGAAGCACACACAGCAGAACTACCAACAAGGACCGAGCTAGCACAGCTGGTGAGCGGGAGGGCGGGCTAGCCAATCGCCACTCCTTTCTCGCATCACACACGGCCGGATTGCCAAGTTGCAGCGAGCAAAAAAATGCTATAGCGCCACAATTGGTGAAAGCGTACAGCATAACCCGTGCACATTCTCGCGCAAGCATCCCTTTCTGTCAACGCGCACCAAGCTACCGGCCTGGTTACTAAGCACAGAGCAACCAAATGCCGTCTGGGCGCCTCTGGTCGCTCTTTTGCGCCTGTGTGGGGGGGCAAGTGCCTATGCGGAAAGCGTCCCGCAGAAGCCCGCAGGATCGGCAGGCCACACACGCATGCGAGCCCGGATTTCGGATGCGCCAGGTTCCGCTTTCCCCATTCCTGAACGACCAACACTCTCAGACCTAACCGAGAGAAAGTGAGGTGGAGAGAGAGAGAGAGAAAGAGAGAGAAAGAGAGAGAGAGAGAGAGAGAGAGAGAGAGAGAGAGAGAGAGAGAGAGAGAGAGAGAGAGAGAGAGAGAGAGAGAGAGAAAGAGAGAGAGAGAGAGAGAGAGAGAGAGAGAGAGAGAGAGAAAGAGAGATAGAGAGAGAGAGAGAGAGAGAGAGAGAGAGAGAGAGAGAGAGAGAGAGAGAGAAAGAGAGAGAGAGAGAGAGAGAGAGAGAGAGAGAGAGAGAAAGAGAGATAGAGAGAGAGAGAGAGAGAGAGAGAGAGAGAGAGAGAGAGAGAGAGAGAGAGAGGGAGAGAGAAAGGGAGGGAGGGAGGGAGGGAGGGAGGGAGGGAGGGAGGGAGGGAGGGAGGGGGAGAGAGAGAGAGAGAGAGAGAGAGAGAGAGAGAGAGAGAGAGAGAGAGAGAGAGAGAGAGAGAGAGAGAGAGAGAGAGAGATAGAGAGATAGAGAGAGATAGAGAGAGCAAAAGAGAGAGAGAGAGAGAGGGAGAGAGAGAGAGAGAGAGAGAGAGAGAGAGAGAGAGAGAGAGAGCAAAAGAGAGAGAGAGAGAGAGAGAGAGAGAGAGAGAGAGAGAGAGAGAGAGAGAGAGAGAGAGAGAGAGAGAGAGAGAGAGAGAGAGCGAGAGAGATTTGACTTATATCCCTGGTAATCCCCAGGAGTCGAGCACGGAGGGATCTGAAGCGGCTGAAACAGACTCGAGAGATAACTCAACAAGGGGTGGGAACCCGCGAAGTATCCCCAGATCTAGGGAGGCCGGAACGCCTGCCGGCGGAATACGAGGATTGATGGGGATGCCCGCGCCCAACCTCCATCACAGCGGTCCCCTGAAGAGCTCGCGGCAGACGAATCCTTGTTCACTAACATTGCCAACTGGGACGTGGCGGGCTTGTGCAATAGCAAACAACCCCCACTTTTTCGCCGACTACCCCGCAAAATTCGCCCTCTTTTCGCGCTGGCGATGTTGATCCCGCTCCTCCATCTGGCGGAAACCCCCTTTTTGCTGGTAGGGTGGCGCCTGCTACTGTTCACACCCCGCCTGACCCTCCGACTGCTCTCGCCAAGGAAACCGGATTGGTTGGCGACGAAGAACAGACTGAAACAATTTCTGAGAGGCGAATGGCAAGCCCTGTATGACGAGGTGATGCTGGCGGTCCACTCCCCGCCCCCGCCACGTCACACCCCAGACTTGCTAGGAAAAATCTCCTGAGCCGAGGGATTGGCTAAGCGCGGGAGCCTGAGAAGGGCGCTGATGGCTCTGGAGTCAACCCCAATCAGCCCAGCAACACCTGAGGTCCTAGAGGCGTTGAAATAAAAACACCCCCCGCCGTTGACCGAGTCGCTCCCTTGGCCAGCTAGCGATGACGAACACCCTCCCCCCACCATCCCGTTTTCTGTCTTCGCCAAGCTTCTCGCATGCTGCGAGAACGACGTAGGGGCTGGGCCCTCGGGGTCCACATTCGAACATTTTTGCGATGCTGCGTTGACCAACGCCGACGTCGCCAGTAACCTGCACAAGCTGGTGAACATTGTTATCGCCGGTCACCCACCAGACAACGTCGCGGACCTGCTTATTGCCTCTCGCCTACTGGCCTTCACGAAGCCCTGCGGGGGCTCCAGGCCGATCGCTATCGGCGAATGTCTCCTGCGACTCGCCAACAAAGCCGCCCTAGCTGCCTGCTCTTCAGCAGCCCAAGACTACTTCCTCCCTGTGCAATCTGGCGTGGCGGTGAGAGGAGGAGGGGAAGCCATCATCCACGCGACCAGAGCGTTCGTTGAAGAGGTCCCGAGCGCCCTGATTCTACAAGTGGACCTCACCAACGCTTTCAATATCGTCGAGAGAGCCGCAATAGCCACGGCAATCGCCGACTCCCCGCTCTGCTGCCTCCTTCCCCTGAACCGCTTCTCCTACGGCCACCCCTCGCTACTGCACCTTGACGCGAGTTTCGGCGCCCCCCCCGCTGCTTAGTACACGCGGAGTCCTCCAGGGGGACCCCATGGGACCCCTGCTTTTCGCGGCAGCCATCCAGCCCGCCCTCCGTGCTACAGCCGCCTCCCACCCTTCAGTCTGTGCCTTGCGTACGCGGATGACCTTACCTTCTTAGGCGAGCCGCCAGCATGCATCGCCGCCTTCAACGCCTTCATCGCCGCACTTGTGCCCCTGGGCCTTACCCACAACCCCGCAACATGCGCGGCCTGGTCGCCCTCGGGCCCGTCCCCAACGGCGCTTCCTCCTGGGGTTCCATACCACACTGATGGACTACAGGTCCTCGGAAGCCACGTCGGGCCCCGGGAGGGTGCGGAGCGCTTCCTCCGAAACAAACTCACCGAACTAGCAGCCCCCCTGCCGACACTTGCCACCATGGACCTGCAGGTGGCATGCTTGCTGCTGACACGCTGCGTCTCCCGCCGCGTATCCTACCTAGTATGCACCACACCCCTAGTCTCGCTCCCCTCCACGGAGTGGTCGGCTTGGGGCAGGGAGCTCTTCCATACCCTGCTCCGCGCCTGTGGCTTGCGCCTCCCGCAGGGAGAGGTTGAACTCAGCCGCACCTGGTCTCAGGCATCGCTACCCCCCTCACTCGGGGGGCTGGGCCTTGCCGACCCTGTCGTGGAAGGCCCCCACTCCTTCCTTACCAGTGTGGCCCACGCGCACGCACTCCTCTCCTCCTTGCCCGACGCCCCAAACACCCCCCTGGCCAACGCCGCCCGACCCCTCTGCCCGCCCTTTTCCGGCCCGACCCCGCTCCACACCTGGCTGGCGGCGTGCAAAGCAGGCTTGCCTCTGGCGGCACTGGAGCTGCTCCAGGCGGAACGCTTGGAGCCGACAGGGGAACCCCTTCAGCACCGCCGCTCTCTGGAGGTACAGGGGGCGCGGTACGCGGAGCTGCTGGATGCTTCTCGCGAGATGGAGCTGAACCCCCTCATGGGCCATACTCAGCGGCTCCTATCACTCACGGGGTACGGGGCGGGGGATTGGCTCCTCGCTATTCGCTAAACCCGTCCCTCTGCCTCGGCCCCCAACATTTCGCCTTTGCCCTGGCCTTCCGCATGGGACTCCCCTGCCCAGCCCCTCGGGTCTGTGACTGCGCCGACAGATACATGCTCGAGGATCCGCGCCTCACTAACCTCCTCCTCAGGTGCGGGACCGGGCATGACCACATGAACACCCACAACGCCCTGCGTGACAAGTGCATTCGCATGGCACAAGATTCGGAGTTCATCGTGCACAAGGAGACGGCGGTGTTCAACCCAGTGGACGACCTCACAGCCGGCCTGGCCATCCGACACCGGGACTCCGGTGCGGTGTGGATCTGCGATGTCACCATCACTGACCCCATCAGCACCCGCGACCCCACGGCCCGCAAGGGCAGAGGATACATGGCCCGGGAGCAGGCCGGAAAAAAAGTGCACCCCTACCGCAACCGCACGGCCTGCGTGGGCCTGTTCCCCTTGGCGGTCGAAACCTACGGCTGCCCATGCGACGAGGTCCCCCAGTTCTTGAAGCTCCCGGCCGCCAGGAGGCTCTTTAACGCGGACCCAACCTCGTACCAGGCAGCGAGACTGCTCCAGTAGTTCCGCCAGCGCTGGTCGGTCACTCTGCAGCGCGCCCAAGCTATCGCCTACCTGGAGAAGGTTCATGAGGCGGCGCTAGCTGACAACCCCCCAGTCGGCTGCCCCGGGGCCGATTTCTTCCTAGGGGATTGTTCTGCCATTCTAGAGCCCCGGGCCGAGCCACCTTAGTGGGCTCCATCGGGGGGGAGAGGGGTACAGGGATGGAGCTTGTGTAATCTTTCCTTTTGTCTCGGTTGTACCCAGGTTCCATCTAATACACGGACCGCTTGAGAGAGAGAGAGAGAGAGAGAGAGAGAGAGAGAGAGAGAGAGAGAGAGAGAGAGAGAGAGAGAGAGAGAGAGAGAGAGAGAGAGAGCGAGAGAGAGAGAGAGAGAGAGAGAGAGAGCGAGAGAGAGTGAGAGAGAGAGAGAGAGAGAGAGAGAGAGAGAGAGAGAGAGAGAGAGAGAGGACTTGAGGGGGAAAGAGAGAGAACGAGAGGGGGACTGAGAGAGGACTTGAGGGGGAAAGAGAGAGGACGCGAGGGAGAAAGAGAGAGGACGCGAGGGGGAAAGAGAGAGGACGCGAGGGGGAAACAGAGAGAACGCGAGGGGGAACGCAAGAGGATGCGAGGGGAAAAGAGAGAAAGGATGTGAGGGTGAGAGCGAGAGGATGGGAGGGGGAAAGAGAGGATGCGAGGGGGAAGAGCGGGGATGCGAGGGGGAAGGAGAGGGGATGTGAGGGGGAAGGAGAGGGGATGTGAGGGGGAACGAGAGGGGATGTGAGGGGGAAAGACAGGGGACGTGCGGGGGAATAAGAGGGGATGTCAAGGGGAAAGAGAGGGAATGTGAGGGGAAGAGGGAGGGGATGTGAGGGGGAAAGAGAGGGGATGTGAAGCGGAAAGACAAGGGATGCAAGGGGGAAAAAGAGGGGATGCGAGGGGGAAAGAGAGGGGATGTGAGGGGGAAAGAGAGGGGATGTGAGGGGGAAAGAGAGGGGATGTGAGCACGAATTCCCGCCTGTGGGCGCCCATCTCCCCCCTCACACCAGTGCGGCACTTCCCCCCCTATCTGAGTGCATCTTCTCCCCCTATCTGAGTGCATCTTCTCCCCCTATCTGAGTGCATCTTCTCCCCCTATCTGAGCTCATCATCCCGCCTGTGGGCGCACACCTTCCCCCTCATACCAGAGCGGCACTTCCCCCCCTATCTGAGTTCACCTTCTCCCCCTGTCTGAGTTCGTCATCCCGCCTGTGGGAGCGCGAGAAAGCGGGAGAGCTGGAGCGCGGGAGCGCGGGAGAACGGGAGAGCGGGAGAGCGGGAGAGCAGGAGAACGGAGCGTGGGAGATCAGGAGAGCGGGAGAGCGGGCGAGCGGGAGAGTGGTCGAGCGGGCGGGGATAGGCATGGGTTGGGCGAGATCTTGCCCTGCACAGAATGGCGTTGCGCGTGGTGGACAAACGCGATACGTGTTTTGCGTGGGAGGTGTTGGGCGGCGCCGCTGACTAATCGAATCTGTTGCCTCTCCCAATCCCGCTTTTTTTTCGCGGTGTCGCAGCGTGGGCAAGGTTGGCTTGGCGGGAATGGCGGGGCACTGCGTCATGGCCTACGAGTGGATAATAGTGTCCAAGGGACTGTGCAACTCGGTGGGTTGGTGGGTTGTTTTGCTGGACCACCTGCATCGTATGGCTGTCGCTCGGCCAATCGCCTATTTGCGCCAGCTAAGTTTCCCCCTATCAAGGGCCAACAGGGTTAACACGTTTCTTTGGTGTGGGCGCAGCGAGGGTTTGCCACTCGGCAGGTTCAAAATCCTCTGAACCTTGAAGTTATTGTATACTTTCACTTTAAGCCTCCCGTATCACCCATGCCTCAACGTTTCTTGCCTAAAATACATCCAGCCAACCAATTGTTGCCCACATACCCTGTAACTTTAGAGACCCTCCAGGATGTAAGCAGCAGCTGTGCAGCACATGCACACACGGTAAAACCCAATGCTGGAGTTGCCCAACAGCGCGACTTTGAGCAGATGGATGAAGTGATGGCGAACCCAGACATGGCGCGCTCATACCACAACGAAATTAGGGGATCGTGTTTTCTATGGATGAGGCGAACCTATGTTGGAACGGAACGAGCATGAAGGGGTGTGTGCGCATGCAGCGGAGTCATCGGCTGTGCTGTTGTGGCGAAGGTACCGTAAACACCTGAGTCTAGCAAGTGCAGCACCTGGTGATGGGCATATGGAGATACACGGAGACAACAGTAACCTTTTTTGGTAGAGTATTTGGAATGAGTCGTGTGTGCACGAAGTGCAAGGGAAAATGACACCGAAGTCACCAAGTGGACCATGTGAGATAGATGTCACACCAATGGCACCCTCACCTGCAGCATGGCAGCTCTTAAAGAGGCGGGGAAAGGAGAGGAAGATCCCTACCTGCAGCATGGAGGGTCGCAGCGAGGGGTCCTTTTCGGTGCAGAGCAGGGCGATGCGGGCCAGCAGGGCGAACTGGTGCGGGTGGTAACTGCCCAGTAGGGCTGGGTCCGCGATGTCATGAAGCCTGCCTGCCTCTATGAGAGGCCGTGCCTGACAGCGGGGGAAGCGAGTGAGTGGCAGGATGGGGGGGAATGGTGTGAGGTGAAGCTGGATGGATGCAGTGGGACGAACAAGCTCTACTTTCCCTTCTCATGTTGTCCATTCGCCCAGCACAGCCACATCCCAACACATGATAACCCCATCCCATCCCATATCATCCCCATGCTATACCATGCCATCTCATACCATGCACTGAGATGCCATGCCATGGCATGCAATGCCGTGCCATGTACTGCCCCTGCACACCGTGCCACGGCAATGCATCTCCAACCCATAGGATGCAATCCCGTCGCATCTCTCATCTCCCATCTCCCATCTCCCTCACCCATTGCGCCGGGCACTGCTGCCCCGCGCCCTGCTCTAATCAACGGCCGCCTGCCCCGGCAGCAACTCATTACCACGTGCCACGAACTGAGTACCATGCCATTCCATGCAATACCGTGCCATGCCACGCCATGCCATGCCATGCCGTGCCATGCCATGCCATGCCGTGCCATGCCATGCCATGCCGTGCCATGCCATGCCATGCCGTGCCATGCCATGCCATGCCGTGCCATGCCATGCCATGCCGTGCCATGCCGTGCCATGCCATGCCGTGCCATGCCATGCCGTGCCATGCCATGCCGTGCCATGCCATGCCATGCCATGCCATGCCATGCTGTGCCATGCCATGCCATGCCATGCCATGCCATGCCAGGCCGTGCCATGCCGTGCCATGCCATGCCGTGCCGTGCCATGCCATGCCATGCCATGCCGTGCCATGCCATGCCGTGCCATGCCATGCCGTGCCATGCCATGCCGTGCCATGCCATGCCATGGCATGCCATGCCATGCCATGCCATGCCATGCCATGCCGTGCCATGCCGTGCCATGTCATGCCATGCCGTGCCATGCCATGCCATGCCGTGCCATGCCATGCCATGTCATGTCATGCCATGCCATGCCATGCCATGCTGTGCCATGTCATGCCATGCCATGCCATGCCATGCCATGCCGTGCCATGCCATGCCATGCCCCTCACCCATTGCGCCAGGCACTGGTGCCCTCTGGGCTTGCTCTCATCCACGGCCGCCTGCCCCGTCAGCAGCTCCAGTGCCACCACTCCAAACGCAAACACGTCCGTGCGCGTGGTCACCACCCCGTGTGACAGGTACTCTGGCGCTAGGTAGCTGAGGGGCGGTGAGGGGGAGAAGGGGGTATGTGAAGGGTGAGGAGGAAGGGGAACATGCACGCGGTTACCACCCTGCGGAACTTTTACTCTGGCGACTGGAGCTGGATTTGATGGTTGGAGGGAGGCGTTTGCACGATAGTCCTAATAGGCATGTGCATTCACACGATAGACCCCATTGTGACTTCTCGAAACACGCTCTGCAAAGCCTATCCCACACAAGCCCATCCCACACAAGCCCATCCCACACAAGCCCGTCCCACACAAGCCACAAGCCCAGCGTGCACTCACCCAAACATGCCGGCGAGTGGCGCTTGCATGGGCGCATCGTTGGCGGCAGCAAAGAGAGCCGATCCGAACTCTGAGAGCTGGTGGGATGGGCGAGAGGGGCGTGGATGGTACAAGGGGCAGAACAAAGGTAAGGGACGGAGGAGGGGACATCACAGGGTGGAATGCACGCATCGTTGATGGCTGCAGCGAGGGCCAACCCGAACTCCCAGAGGTGGAGGAGAGACGGGGAGCAAGGACAGAGATGGATTGGTGGGAAGGAGTGGACGGAAGGGTGGAGGGAACGAGGGAAGGTAGGTAGCGTGTAGGGGAGGTAGTCTGCCGATGACAGTGTTGCAAAAGGGAGAAGCAGAAGGAAGGGATCGTGATGAGGATAGGAGGATAGCACTCACTCAGCTTCACGTCTCCTCCCCTCGTTAGCATCACACTCACCTTCACCTCTCCTCCCCTCGTAAGCATCACACTCACCTTCACCTCTCCTGCCCTCGTTAGCATCACACTCGCCGCCCGCACGTTCCGATGCACCACAGCCCTGGGCGCCCCCTCGTGAAGGTAGTGCAGGGCCAGTGCCAGCTGGCGCGCTATGATTGGCCGGACCGACCAGGAGAGAGGGCCTGGGGAGGGGTTGAGGTAGAGAGGGGATGCGGGAGGGGGCAGGGTGGAAAAAGGGGGAGGCAGGGGTTGAGATGGGGTGACTGGCATCATGAGCACACAGAAGGAGCATGACCAGTAGCCGCAAGAGCACATATTAGCCGCAGCAGCGGAAGTGCACCCGTAGAGCACAAGGGAGTTGGCGGCATTACGTGCAGTACAAGGGGCAGCAGCAGCAGAGCCTCCCAGGCGGCGCCCAGGCCTCTAACGGATTACCGGCGGAGAGCAAATGCCAACAGCACGTGCGCATTTCAGGGGAACCATCAGTGGCCCCAGAGCCCCCCCTGAGAGCAGTCCCGAGGCTACCGCCCTCCATGAGCTCGCACAGCAGCAGCACAGCAGCAGCACAGCAGCAGCACAGCAGCAGCACAGCAGCAGCACAGCAGCAGCACAGCAGCAGCACAGCAGCAGCACAGAGGATCAGTGGAGAATCTCAGGTGTGGAGGCTTTGGGCCTTACCAGGGGTAGTAGCATCAGAGGCCCCCGTGGCCCCCCTGAGAGCGGTCTCGAGGCTGCTGCCCTCCATGAGCTCGCACAGCAGCGCCACCCTTGTGCAATACCTTGTACGAAATCACCAACAGAGAGGGAACATACCAGGGTTAGCATCAGAGGGCCCAGCGCTCCCCCTGAGGGCGGTCTCGAGGCTGCCGCCCTCCATGTGCTCGTACACCAGCGCCACCTCCTCCCTCCGCTCCCCACACACCCCCACCAGGTGCGCCACGTGGCGGTGACTCAGCAGCGCCAGCACCGCCAGCTCAGCTGCCACCTCGCTGCTCAGGCCGCGCTCTACAGCCAGTGGCACACTGCCACGTGGGCTACCCCCTTGCCTGGCACCATGAACAGCACCAAAACAAGCAAAAACCCCACCCTCACCACCACCATCAGCACCAGCGCCACTAGCAGCCGCAGCAGCGGACCAGTTGAGCATCTCCCTTCTCACTGCTATCTGCTGCCCGCCTGGTAACCGGCCTCGGTACACCCGGCTGTAGCCGCCGCACGTCCCAAGAAGGTTCCCTGGTCATAATGGGGGGGGGGGAGGAAGGCAGTACGAGAGTGCAGTGAGACAAGCGACATATATGCATGATGCATGTGCCATGATGCATGTTGCTTCTGCCATCATGCATGTTGCTTCTGCCATCATGCTTGGTGCTGGTGCCATCATGCATGGCGTATGTGCAATCATGCATGGCGTATGTGCAATCATGCATGGCGTTTGTGCTATCATGCGTACACATGCTTGAATGCCACTTGCACATCCTTCCCACCCACCCCTCTCACGCACACCTCGCCCTCCCCTCCTCTCTCACTCACTCGTGGCGAACCCATCAGTGGCGTCTTCCACCTCTCGCCACCTCAGCTTCCTCCACGGCCCCTCCCACCCCACCACGCCCGCCACCCCGCTCCCTCCCTCCCCGTGCGCTGCCGCCACTGCTCCCGCTGCTGTCGCCGTTTCTACATGCCCTGTCGCCGCCGCCGCCGCTGCATGCCGTGCTCCGTGGGTGAAGGAGAGGCTCCTCCGCATGGCAGGGGAGGGCGACGCCATGGAGACACCGCCACCACTGCGGCTGCGAGGCAGCTCTGCACTGCGCACTACCGCCCCTCCGTGCACGCTCCTATCCCCTCCCACGGAGCTCAGAGGCGTTCTCTGAGGCATTTCCGGTACCGCCCTCCTCCCCTCTCTCCCGTCCCTCCCCGCGTCCTCCCCCCCATCGGAGAAGTACCGCCTAGAGGGCAGCAGCGAGGTGCAGCTGCGGCTGAGAGGCAGCGACTGCTGCCGCACACTCGGCAGCGAGTCCAGCCCCACTCCCACTCCCCCTCCCTCTGTGCTGCTGTCCGCCTCTCTGCTGCTCTCCCCCTCCCTGCTGCTCTCCCCCTCCTTGCTGCTGTCTCCCTCCTTGCTGCTCTGCTCTTGCGCTCTCCCCTCACGCGCTCTCCCCTCACTCGCTCTCCCCTCACTCGCTCTCCCCTCACTCGCTCTCCCCTCACTCGCTTCCTCCATCTCTTCCCCATCTCCCTCCCGTCCTCCTTCCCTCTCCCTTTCCCCCTCGCACCCCCTTTCAGACACCCGACCGTCTGAGCCCTCCTCTTCACTCTCCCTCTCCCTACCTCTCTCCCCCACTCTCGCTGCCTGCACCACAAACCCCCACTCCCTATCCCTCTCACTCACACCACACTCACTCCCACCACCAGCGATCAAACACGCAGCAGGCGCGTGCAAATCCCTCTCGCTCCCACTCTCTACTCCTCGCACTCTCCCTGACTCCCTCTCACTTTCACTCCCCCACTCTACTGGCGCCCTTCTCCCCAAATCCCTCTCACTCTCACTCCCCGATTCCGCTCCTCCCAGCCGGTGGCTCACCCTCTGTGGGTCGCGGGTCTTGTTCAGCACCGACAGCCGCCGCCCCGCCGCCCCGCTCCACCCGCCCACTGTCCCCCCCAGGCCGTGCCTCTGGCGCGGCCTGTGCGCGCTGAATTCCAGAATGGGACACCTGGCGCCCTCCTTCCCCTCCCCTGCCTCCTCCCTCTCCTGCTTCACCCCCTCTCCTCCCGCCCCCTGCCCCTTCTTCCCTTCCCCCCTCCCGTTCTCCCCCTCTCGCCCGCCTGATGGCATCCTGTTGCCACTGAGAGGCTCCAGGGGAGATCTGCCGCTCGGTTGAACGGCTCTCCCTCCAGAGCACACAGCATTGGGGCCTGCGCCTTTAACTGCTGCCGGTGGCACTTCAGGTGAATTCCCAGGTGGTGCTGGTGTAGCGCCAGGTGCCCTAGGGATCAGAGCCGAATCTGATAGATAGCCACTGCTCCCATTCTTCTTGCTGCTGCTGCTGCTGTTGTTGTTGCCAGGGTGTGTTTGCTGTGACACGTGGCAGTTTGGGATTGAAAGGGAGCCGCTGCTGGGAATGTCCGTCCAATGGGAGGACGCCCCTGAGCGGGAGGAGAACGCGGAGGATGACGTGGCAGCTGACGTGGCTGATATATCCGAGCAGAAAGACTCGAGAACAGGCTGAGCGGCATCAGAAGCATCCATAAGAGGGAAGCTACAGTGATGCACTGTGCCCTGTATCGCATCATCCATTTGATCCCCGATATTGGCATCCCCGTGTTCAGAAGAAGCTTCCGAAGAGGAAGAGGAGGAGGATGACGCAGTTTCCACGTCACAGCGGTTGGCCCAGTCAATGCAGTCGACGCTCTCAACACGGCCAGCTGCATGGCCGTCAATAGCACCATTGGCACTGTCAGCAGCACGAGCGGTGTGAGCTCTGAGGATGCTCTCCTCCTGCGGCCCTTGGCCCACGTAGAAACTCAGCTTCCCTTCCCGCCCTCTCACCCCCCGCTCTCTCCGCCCCACACGCCCCTCCTCCGCCTCACTAGCCTCCACCTCACACTCCTTCCCTGGCAGCTTCCACCTGCCACGTGTCCTCACATCACTAGATGCTGCCTTGTCTGACCCTGAAGCTGCTTTGTTCCCCTTTCCCCCTCCCTCGCCCTGCTCTTTCTGCTGCTGCTGCTGCTGCTGCTGCTGCAGCCTCACCAGCCGTTCGCTCAGCTCGCTCAGCGCCTGCTGCTCCTCCCCCGCCCCCTCACCCACCACCCTCCCCTTCCTCACTTGCTCCCTCGCCTTCCTCTCCTCCTCCTCCTCCTCCCCCTCTCTCTCGTTCTCCCACCCCAGCTGCTGCGCTAGGGTAGCAGCCACAGCGCTCACCCCGCAAATGATGCTGACCGCTGCACGTGCATGTGCCTGGGGGTGACTGCAGCCGAACGTGACTCAAACGAGCGTGACCCGTCTGTCATCTGATGCTGCTGCTGTTGCTGCTGCTGCTGCGGCTGCTGTTGCTGCTGCTGCTGCGGCTGCTGTTTGGCTGTGATTGACGATCGCAGCACCTGCCATTTCGGCACGTGCTCACCGCTTCTGCTCCCTGCTTGCCCCTGCTGCTGCATGTGCTGCTGCCGCTGCTGCTGCCTCAGCTGCTGCTTTTGCTGCTGCTGCTGCTGCTGCTGCTGCTGCTGCTGCTGCTGCTGGTGCTGCTGCTGCTGCTGGTGCCCCTGATGCTGCCCCAACCAGCCGTTTCCAGCAGCACCGGCGGCAGTGGCAGCACGAGGGGAGGAGGAAAAGAAGGGATTCGATGCGGAGGAGCGGGGGGAGATGAAGGGGGAGGAGTTGGGGTTGCACGTGGTGGCGCGGGGGGAGGAGGGGCGGGAAGAGCGCGGGGAGGAGGGGAAGAATGGGTTGAAGGCGGAGGCGCGGGGGGAAGACGGGCGGGAGGAGCGGGGGGAGGAGGGGCGGGAGGAGGAGAAGAAGGAGGAGTGGGGGGAGGAGGCACGAGGCGAGCTGCAGACGCTGCGAGCCTTGCCAGGGGCGAATGGCCTGCGGGGGACTGAGAGGGGGGAGAGAGGGGAGGAGAGGGGAGGGGAGGGGAGGGGAGGGGAGGAGAGGGGAGGGGAGGGGAGGGGAGGAGAGGGGAGGGGAGGGGAGGGGAGGAGAGGGGAGGGGAGGGGAGGGAAGAGGACGGGGAAGGCGGTTGAATGTGGGGGTGGGGGGTGTGGGAGAGTTGGAAAGGGCGAGACGAGAGCGTGCTAGCGGGAGAGAGAGGAGGAGGGAGAGAGATGAGAGGCAGAGAGAGGAGAGGGAGAGGGGAGGAGAGGGAGAAAGAGGAGAGGGAGAGAGGAAGAGAGGGAGAGAGGAGAGAGGGAGAGAGGAGGAGAGGGAGAGAGAGGAGAGGGAGAGAGGAGGAGAGGGAGAGAGAGGAGAGGGAGAGAGGATGAGAGGGGGAGAGAAGAGAAGGAGAGAGGAGGAGAGGGAGAGAGGGGAGAGGGAGAGAGGAGGAGAGGGAGAGAAGAGAGGGAGAGAGGAGGAGAGGGAGAGAGAGGAGGAGAGGGAGAGTGAGGAGGAGAGGGAGAGAGGAGGAGAGGGAGAAAGGAGGAGGAGGGAGAGAGGAGGAGGAGGGAGAAAGGAGGAGGAGGGAAAGAGGAGGGAGAGAGAAGGAAGAGGGAGAGAGGAGGAGAGAAACGGTGTGGCCTTACAGGAGACGTCGCCCTGCAGCAGGGAGAGCGCGCGCTGAGCGATGGACGGCTTGGAGGCCGGCTGCTGCCTGAGGCTCGTGAGCGAGTTGCTCCGCGGTAGCTGCCCCAACCGCCGGCCGTGCCCCGCTGCACCTGCTGCTGCTCGCTCCTGTGGTCCGCTCAGGCTCGTGCTCCCTGCACCGCCCACTGAGGCATGCTGGTACGCGAGGGGTCCGCTGCGGCTGATGCCCCCGCCCATGGGGTGCGCATGGCTGCTGGCTGCAGCAACGGTAATGCGCGCAGTGGGGTATGGAGACGCCCCCGCGCCCATGCTCCTGCTGCTGCCACCGATGGCGCTGCTGGTGGACCGAGCAGAACTCAAGGCAGTGGTTGCTGCAGCATCGAATATGCCCTTCCCTTCCCCTCCCTTCTCCCGCTCGCCGTACATTCCTCCCCTCCTCTCTCGCTCCCTTGCCTTCTCCCTCTCCCGCACTCTCTCCCGAGCAGCGATCTTCGCCTTCTCACTATCTCCGCCCTTCGCAGCGCTTGCCTGTTCCTTGTACCCGTCCCTGTCTTTGCCGCTACCGAAGAGCCGCATAAGGGGGATGTAGAGCGGGCGGTGGCCGTTGGGAGTGGCGTCGCCTGTTGCGCGGGTCTCAGCATCCGTGCTCTCCGCTGCGCCCGCTGCCGCGCCCATTCCGCCCTTCCCCCGCTTGGCAAGCGCCAGGCGCCCGCCGCCAACGAAGAGCACCATGCAGGCGGGCGGAAGGCGCTGCTCCAGCGCGCGCGGGGAGAAGCGCCGCCCCATTCTGGGGGATGGGGGAATGGCGGAATGAAGAGAACATGGGAAAAAGCGGTTATTATGGGGAGGGGGCGGCTGGAGGAAGGGTGCGTTGAGCGGATGGGACGGGAGGAGGAGCAGAGAGAGCAGCAAGGGAGGGAGGGAAGGCAGTCAGTGGCTGTACGGCAACAAGGCAGTCCCTCTCTCTCTTCCTACATTATCGCTGTACTCAACGTGGTATGAGACTCGCGTCTCGAGATGTCTCAGAACACGCGCACTCGGCCCATGGTCCGCGAACCTCTCACCGCGCCCGTCCTTGTCGACCACCACCCGCGTGGCGCCCAGCAGCATCGCCTGCTCCAGCACCGGCTGCCTTCATCCGGCCCTCCTGCCCCTTATCGCATTGTTGCAACTCTCGTAGCTCACCCTTCCTCGCCTCACCCGTCCTTGTCGAAGACCACCCGCGTGGCCCCCAGCAGCATCGCGTCGTCCACCACCGTCTGCTGCTCGCACGCTAGCCCTCCTCGCTGCCCAATCACCGACGCTTCTGACTAGCCCCCCCTTTCCTCGCCCGTCCTTGTGGACGACCACCCGCGTGGCGCGCAGCAGCATGGCCTCGTCCATCACCCGTCTGCAGTCGTCATCACTCACCCTCCTGAATCCCCCCTGGCTCCCCCCTGCTCTCACGCTACTCCATCCCCCGTAACCCACCCGTCCTTGTCGATGACCACCCGCGTGGCGCGCAGCAGCAGCGCCTCGTCCAGCAGCGTCTGCTGCTCGCACGGGCCGTGCACCACGCGCACCGACGCCGCCACGCGCTTTTCCGCGCACAGCGCCTCGAAGCCCCACAGCAGCGCGGAGAAGATCTCCAGCTTCCGCCGCTGGTCCTCCCGCATCTCCTCCAGCCGCGGGGGCTGCGCGCCTGGCGGATTGCGCCGGATGGGGGATGGGGAAGAGAGGACGGGGGAAGGGGGGAAGCGGGAGGCGGGGAGCGGGGGAGGCGGAGAAGCGGGGGAGCAGGGAAGCGGACAGAGAGTAGGAGGATGTAGGGAGAGAGAGGAGCGGAGAAGGATTGAGATGCAGAAGTGAGGCGACACGTGGAGGCGGGGCCTACCGGCTGGTGCGAGCAGACTGACCGGACTGGCGAAAGGTGTACGATTTGGTGCAGTTAGGTGCGGTTGCGTGCGATGAGGTGAGTTAGGTGGAATTAGGAGGTGGGATTACTTGCGATCCGTACAATCGACGATGCCCGATGCAAGGGCGGGCAGGCAGCCATTGGAGGATTCAGATTGGGGATCGCAATCGATCAGACGTGCGTTGGACGACGACGAGAAACCGAGACGGCACGACAAGCAAGGGGGATAGGTGGGGGGGAAGGAAGGCCGCAACGGAAAGACAAGCAGAGACTCCCTACCTCGGAGGTAGGAAGGCCGCGAGACAAAAGGGCACGTTCGCGGATGCTGCCAGATAGTACTCGTGGTGCGTACCATCGGTGGGCGGCACGATGACGTGGAGGACGTAGATGACGTCACCCGGTTGGCATCGGCTGATCGTCCATTGGATGAGCCCACGGCCTTCCTCCGATAGTGTCACCGCCACCACGATGTGGTCCGGCTGCCTCTCGGTACAATCACCCTGTAACATCGTCCCTGGCCACTGCCACACCTGTCAGAAATTACAACCGAGAAACCCTGAGCTAGCTAGCAGCGCCTAGCTAGCGCTCGCTGGCGGATGCTTCAGAGCTCGGGGAACTGCAAAAAGACAGCTAAGGTCTTCGCCTTCTTATCTCGACTCTCTATCGGGAGTGACTCCCTCTATGACGCATCCTTATCTCGCATCGTGATTTCGATTCGACAGTTCGCCCTGGGCTCGCATGCTACCCAGCCTCTCCAATTTCCGTGCTCGTGTTGGCGAAACAGCTATCGCCTTGTTACATGTGGCGAAACTGTGGCGGAATCGTCTGGTCGAAACTGGCGGAATTCGCCAACTGCGGTCAAGCATGGAGTCGTCTTGCGCGACGGCCAAGAGCCGTGTAACTACCACTAGATTCTCGCCTACTGCTGGGCCGAAACTAAGAATGCGCCGTGTGAGGCGGCGTGGTTTGAGCTCTCAATGCGAGTGTAGGCGTGCGCCTTCTATTCGACCCGACAGCAGTAACAGATGCGAGTGCTGGCTGGGGTCGCTAGGGCTGCGAGGAAGGGGATAGCTGAGCGTGACAGCTGCTCTTGTTTTTATGGGATTTATTGATTTTGAAAACCAACTCGACGTAGGTGTGGGGAGACAAGAGATAGCCAACACTCGAGGTCGATCAGTCGGTCGCCCAGGCTACTAGCCAGGCTACTCCGGCTTGACGGGCTGATGGCGACGACGGACGGCGACAACCGTGCGTATTTGCATGGAAACGAACGGAACGAGGGGAAATGGCAAAGCAAGTGCGATCATCGGGAAAGGAGATACTTGGCAGTTCGGGCACTTTGCAAAGGAGTCGCTCGCGCCGTCTATGTGACCAGTTGTGTCGGTGACTGCAAAAGTCATAGGTCACGTATCGTAGCCTCTGCGCGGCGCCATGACATGGGGTTACGCAGATAGAACAGGGACATCGGGCTAATAGGAGGCTGGTAGTGGCTGGTCAGTGGGTCGCGCATTAGGATGCTGAACAGGAGGCTGCTCACGGATTTGATTGAATTCCAGTGGCGGGCTTCTTAGAACCTCTCCTCCGCGCTCACACTCTCTCCCCACCCCAAACCCACAATTGCTGCATACTTTGTTGGGCCGTGGGGCGGTGGGTTGCCCGATCAAAGCCTCAAGCAAATGTGTTCAATTCCAAATCAGAACCAAGGCGCGCATTGGTCTGTGTGACCTCGGGGGAATGTGCGCAGCGGGCTTTGAGCTTGTCGCAGGGCCTTGGCCAATCGGCGGCGCTGGTCTGTGTGTCGCACGCGTCGTCGCCGGGTCCAGCTCCGTCTCCCGCCCACTTCGCATGCGGCGGGATGTCAGTAAGGTGTGTCGCACCCTGATTGACTTGAGTCAGGCGACGCGACGCGACTTGTCTTGTCGCTCTGTTCAGATGAATACAGAAGGAATGTCCTGGCAACTCTGACAGCAGATGGACAGAACAGTATACACTTATAAGCAGATCCTCTTGAGACCATACAGCATGCCCTAAGTGCACTGGCCGTAGTACGGGAATAGAGATTGTATTTGACATGGGCGTTTCATTTTACGAAAAGCATTTTCACACGCATTAGACCAATATTACTGGTAAACACATGCTTGAGATTGATATCAATATATTTTAATTCATACCTTCAATTAAAAATAAATCAGAATAGTCAAGCCTTGTTGAAGTGAAGTCACCAACTGTAATAGAGATACCAAATAATGTTTCCAACAGGGTTATGTGAATAAATTGCCTAGTGAAGTATGTATACCGTCCTTACACTCATATGGCGGATGAGCTTGACCACACGTCCAGTATGTTGATGACCTCCTGCCATGTTCACAGAGCTCGTTATTCCTCCGATGCGCCTCTGAATTAGAGTGATCAGACCGAAACCACGAACAGCTCCTATATCGAGCAGCCCCCATGGCTCCGTCGCGGCCCGACGATTCCAAGGTCAAAAAGCAGTTCGGCTTCCCCCTCTTCTGCGGCGCGTGGGCGCCCACGAAGGGCCCAGCGGCGGGCGCGCAGAGCGCGGAGGGGCTGGTGGTGCTGGCGGGGGGCGGCGGCGCGGGGCGGCACGGCATTAAGAGCAAGATCATCGCGTGCAAATACAGCTTCTCCGCCAACGAGCTGTCGGACGAGGTGACGTGGCACGCCATGACACATGGATGCGTCTCGTGCCCTCAGCGAATCCGCCTTCGTCGAGCCTCGTTTTCGCTGCCACCGCACGCACGGTAGCATCGTGTGGTGTGTTTGTTTGAACAGCTCTCTTGCTGCAACCATATCCCGTAGTAACCAACTGCGCTCCCCCCCGCCCAGGTGTTCAGCCTGTCAACAGGCGCCAACCCCGCGTTCAAGATTACTGCGCACCCCAACGGCGACGGGCTCATCGCCGCCTTCGGTGACGCCTGCCGGTGAGCTGGAGCTGGAGCTGCAGCTGGAGCTGCAGCTGGACACCAAGCGTCCTCCCCTCAACTCCCCACCTCTTCTCTGCTCCCTCTTCCACCCGTTTTTTGAGGCGCCTCATAAACGCCGAACGCTTCTCGGCTCATTCTCTCAGCAGCTCTTCCTGCTTCGATTCCACGTGTGGTCGAACCCGAAACCCTCAACTGCACGCACTCAATCCACTCCACTCCACTCTGCTCCTGTTATTGATGTTCCGATTCCTTCGCTACGCCTGCCCCCCCTCCTTCCCTCCCCTCCCCTCCCCTCCCCTCCCGCCCGCCCTCCTCGCACGTTAGACCAGCCTGTTCGAAGTGAGGCCCCAGGAGGAGGAGCAGCAGAAAGGCGGCGGTGAGGCAGGCACAGAGGGAAAGGAGGGGAGTGAGGAGGGCGGAGTGCCGCTGGAGCAGCTGCAGCTGGTGCAGAGCGCTGTGCAGCTGAAGTGGCTGGGGCCGGGGGGGGAGGAGGGGGAGGGGGGGGGGGAAGGGGCGGGGAAGGGGGGCGACGCGAGTGCAGGAGAGGAGAAAGGGAGGGGGAGAGGGGAGGAAAGGAGGAGGAGGAGGAGAAGGTTGCGGAGGTGAAATGTCTGTTGTTCAGTGCGGATGGGTGCAGAGTGGTGGCGGGGAGTGAGGATGGGCGGCTGCGGGTGTTTGAGTGGCCGAGTATGGAGGTGGCGATGGAGGTGCCGCGCGCTCACACGTCGTCGCTGAGAGACGCGGACATCAAGTACGGTCGTTTGATGACTGAACGCTGAGGGGGGTTCAGTGCATACAGAGAGTTGCATTCAGGGCGGTTGCATGGGCTTGGTCTGGTGGGCTTTGCCATGGGAGTATGGAATCTGCCATGGGTGGGTGTGCTCGGCTCGGCGCTCTTTCCTCCGCACTCAGAGATGCGGACACCAAGCATGTCTGATGCCTGAGAGATGGTCTGTTGCTGCTGCTTGCCCTGCTCCTCCTCTGCAGCCACCCTTTGCTTCCCACTGCAGCAGCCTCTATCCACATGATCTCTCTGTCTCGCCCCATCCCTTCCCAAGCCCCCACCAGGCCCGTATTCCCCATACAAACAATTTTATCCTTCTCCTTTACTGCAAACCAGCCTGGACGGGTCGCTGGTGGCGACGACAGCGGATGCGGGGCCGCTGAGGGTGTGGAGCGTGCGCAAGGGGACGGCTGTTGCCACTCTCTCCATTGCTGAGGTCAGCACTCTGCATTGCTGAGGTCAGCACTCCCTCTCTCTGCATTGCTTTTGTTAGCAGTGCACACCAGCAACCACCTGTATGGCGCTGTAGCACTATCAAGCAGCTGTAGCCACCTGTAACCAACCTGTAACCACCCTGTAACCATGTGTGACGACCTGTAAGCAGCTGTATTCCTAACAGTCATCCATTTGTGTTACCCATCATCCCCTCTCCATTTCCCCACTCTGCACCTCGCATCCCACCTCTCACACTCCAATCCTCTCACCCACATGCTCTCTCAACCGGGCCCATCCCCCACTCACTCTTTCCCTCCCCGCTCACCCTAATCAGGGCGGGGCGCGCTTTGGTCTCTGCCGCTTCTCCCCGAGACCCTCCAAGCCGCTGCTCTACTCCACCTGCGTCAAGGGTGAGGCGTTAGTGCAGGGTGGCAGTAGCAAGGCGGTGACTGTAGTGAGGGGGGATTGTGGGCTAGAGTGATTCGATTCACGGCTGTGAGAGCTGAGTGAATCGTGAGCACACACACACCCAGTCATCCGTCAGTGCTGCCCACTGCATCGCATCTCGTTCTCTTCTCTCCGTGCCTCTGCTCGACCCTCTCTTCCCCCTCCTCGCTTCATTCATCTCGTCAGCCCTACCCCCTCCATCCCCCCCTCTCTCATCCTTCCCTCTCTCTCGTCCTTCCCCCTCTCTCGTCCTTCCCCCTCTCTCGTCCTTCCCCCTCTCTCGTCCTTCCCCCTCTCTCGTCCTTCCCCCTCTCGTCCTTCCCCCTCTCTCGTCCTTCCCTCTCTCTCGTCCTTCCCCCTCTCTCGTCCTTCCCCCTCTCTCGTCCTTCCCCTCTCTCGTCCTTCCCCTCTCTCGTCCTTCTCCCTCTCTCGTCCTTCCCCCTCTCTCGTCCTTCCCCTCTCTCGTCCTTCCCCCTCTCTCGTCCTTCCCCTCTCTCGTCCTTCCCCTCTCTCGTCCTTCCCCCTCTCTCGTCCTTCCCCCTCTCTCGTCCTTCCTCTCTCTCGTCCTTTCCCTCTCTCGTCCTTCCCCTCTCTCGTCCTTCCCCCTCTCTCGTCCTTCCCCCTCTCTCGTCCTTCCCCCTCTCTCGTCCTTCCCCCTCTCTCCTTCCCCTCTCTCGTCCTTCCCCCTCTCTCGTCCTTCCCCCTCTCTCGTCCTTCCCCTCTCTCGTCCTTCCCCTCTCTCGTCCTTCCCCCTCTCTCGTCCTTCCCCCTCTCTCGTCCTTCCCCCTCTCTCGTCCTTCCCCCTCTCTCGTCCTTCCCCCTCTCTCGTCCTTCCCCTCTCTCGTCCTTCCCCTCTCTCGTCCTTCCCCCTCTCTCGTCCTTCCTCTCTCTCGTCCTTCCCCCTCTCTCGTCCTTCCCCCTCTCTCGTCCTTCCCCTCTCTCGTCCTTCCCCCTCTCTCGTCCTTCCCCTCTCTCGTCCTTCCCCTCTCTCGTCCTTCCCCCTCTCGTCCTTCCCCCTCTCTCGTCCTTCCCCCTCTCGTCCTTCCCCTCTCTCGTCCTTCCCCTCTCTCGTCCTTCCCCTCTCTCGTCCTTCCCCCTCTCTCGTCCTTCCCCCTCTCTCGTCCTTCCCCCTCTCTCGTCCTTCCCTCTCTCTCGTCCTTCCCCCTCTCTCGTCCTTCCCCTCTCTCGTCCTTCCCCCTCTCTCGTCCTTCCCCCTCTCTCGTCCTTCTCCCTCTCTCGTCCTTCCCCCTCTCTCGTCCTTCCCCTCTCTCGTCCTTCCCCTCTCTCGTCCTTCCCCCTCTCTCGTCCTTCCCCCTCTCGTCCTTCCCCCTCTCTCGTCCTTCCCCCTCTCTCGTCCTTCCCTCTCTCGTCCTTTCCCCTCTCTCGTCCTTCCCCTCTCTCGTCCTTCCCCTCTCTCGTCCTTCCCCTCTCTCGTCCTTCCCCCTCTCTCGTCCTTCCCCTCTCTCGTCCTTCCCCTCTCTCGTCTTCCCCTCTCTCGTCCTTCCCCTCTCTCGTCCTTCCCTCTCTCGTCCTTCCTCTCTCGTCCTTCCCCTCTCGTCCTTCCCCTCTCTCGTCCTTCCCCTCTCTCGTCCTTCCCCCTCTCTCGTCCTTCCCCTCTCTCGTCCTTCCCCCTCTCTCGTCCTTCCCCCTCTCTCGTCCTTCCCCCTCTCTCGTCCTTCCCCCTCTCTCGTCCTTCCCCTCTCTCGTCCTTCCCCTCTCTCGTCCTTCCCCTCTCTCGTCCTTCCCCTCTCTCGTCCTT